ATCCGTTGCCGGACACGGAAAAAAAAAGACAAAAAAAAAAGGGATCTTAACCCTTGACTTGGTGTTGTCAGCACCACGCTCTCCCAAGTGAGCCACAGGCCAGCCCCCTGAAAGCTTACTTTAAATTAGAAGACTTAAATACGTACAGCGCTGCTGACATGGCCTCAAATTCTACAGAACAGTTTGGAAATCATTGCTCTAGGTTTTGGATTTCTCCAAGAGAAGCAATGGCTGTCATTAGGGTAGGTAAGGAAGGAAGAGGCAAGGCTTGGAGACCTGGCGGAGCTGGCAGGAACAGGAGAAACAAGCTGAATAAATAGTCCACAACCCCCCACAGGGTTGCAGACCTATCACCAGGTGGAGGCCTAGAGTCCACCTGGCCCATCCCCCTGCCTCTGGGCCTGCGAGGGACAGACCCACCTTCAGACTCAGCCCCTCTCCCCTTTGCAGACAAGATGCAGCGACTGTGTGTGTGTGCACTGATCCTCGCGCTGGCTCTGGCCACCTCCTCTGAAGCTTCGTGGAAGCTGCGGGACGCACCCTCAGGTCCAGTGGCCAACAAGGTCCTAGAACCACACTGGCTGGACCAGCTGGTCCCAGCCTCTCACCACCGAAGGCAGCTGGGGCCCCAGGATCCCCCACACCTTGTGGCAGGTAGGAGCTGCTGACCCTCCTCCCTGCTTGCCCCATGCAGCCAAGTTTGGCCAAGGTCCCCCCAGACTGGCCTTGACCTCGATTCCTGGAGGCTAGGCATCTTTCCCCTCTGCTCACCTCCTCTCACCTCCCCAGACCTGTCCAAGAAGCAGGGGCCATGGCTGGAGGAAGAGGAAGAAGCATATGGGTGGATGGACTTCGGCCGCCGCAGTGCTGAGGAAGGGGACCAGCGTCCCTAGAACCAAGCTTCAGAGCCCAGCCACCTCCCACCCCACCCCAGCCCTGTACCATGAAAAACAAAGCAAAATAAACTAGTTTTCAGTGGCTCAATGGATTGTGTCAAGTGCTGTGGGGCAGGGGAGGGGGTTTGGCTGGTGGGGAGGGTGGAGGCAGGGAGGAGAGTTGAGTGTCCCCTACGGGCAGGGACCGGGGCTCATTCTTCTCGGTGTCCCCAGAGCCCAACACTAAACAAGAATCTATACCGGTGGGTGGGAGAATAGGTGGTGGGGTTCGTAGCCAAAGTGAACTTTTTAAAAGATAAATCAATCAAATACTGTCACTCTCGGTTTTAGCCTTTCAGTACTTCCCATTGCACTTAGAATAAAACCCCAACTCCCTGCCAAGCCCTCAGAACTAGCCCTGCTGTCCTCTGCCCCCATGGTCGCCCCATGTCTTCCTCCTCTTCCTCTGCACAGACACACCCCGTTCTTCCCTGCTCAGAGCTTTGGTCCTTGTTTGTCCCTGTGCCTGGGATGCTCTTCCCCAGGCACAAACGTGGCAAGCCCCCTTTTTCTCCTTGGAGTCTTGGTTGAAATGCCCCTCCCAGGGGACCTACGCTTTCTGCTCCTCACTGATCGCACACAGACCCCCTCACTCCCTATTCCAGCGTCATCTTTTCTTTTGAGCACATTTCACAATCTGTAGTGGTTTTGCTTGACAGTTTATCGTCTGCCTCCGCAGCTAGACGGGAAAGTGTGAGAGCGGGGACCACATGCCTCTCTTCCCTGCTGTATCCCCAGTGCCAAGAACAGGAGGAGGAACCCAATAAATAGTTGTCAGATGAACAGGGTATTGGCTGGTGCAGGCGCTGGCTGGTGTCTTGCCCGTTTTCCCTCACGGTTCTGGTGCCTATCGACAGTAACCTACTATAGGCACAAGTCGCCCTCCACCCGAGAGCTGTCGGGGAGGAAAATATTTTCCTCTTCCCTTCTTAAGTTTATGGCTGGAGCTCTGTAATAAAAGGCAGGATACAAGAGAAAAGCAAACAAGTTTATTCATATGTGGATCGCGCATTGAACAAATGGAGTATCCAGAGATAACTCCAAAAGGTGGCCCAGAATTCAGGCTCATATAGCATCTCCAACAAAGAACAATGAACTTACAGAGAAATGACAGAAGGAAGGAAAATGGTTTTAGGCTTCCAAGGGCTCCACATGGGGTGTGAGAAAGCAAATACATGGGAAACAAATGATAGATAAAGTCTAGTTAGTAAAGTTTGTTATATAGATTTCTCTGGTGCCATCTCCAGGCTGATAAGGGTCTAAAGTTGTCTCTGATGATTAACCTTATCCTTCTTGGTGGAGCGGGAAAGAAGAACACCTTTGAAATTTTACATCCTGCTTTTAGGCAGATACAGAGAGGTCAGGGAGCTCTTCTTGTATCTTCTCAATTGCCTTCAGCTCAAAATAATCCTTATTCCAAAGTGGCATATTCTGTCTGGTTTCCTTCAGAACTTTCTCCCAGCCCAAGTGCAAGGCAGGCTGGAAATGTTGGGGAATTAGATGCCTCCAGAAGCATCTCTCAGTCAATGACAGATGAGAGAGGATAAATACCCAGCTCCCCCACCCCTCCGTTGGGTTAACTCTGAGGTGTATTCGACTCTGCCTCCCAGAACTCTCCAGCAGGATGGTGCCCATTACCCACAGCAGTGACCTGCTCAGTTATATTCTTTACTGGCTTCCTTTCCCCTTCCTTGGAACACCACCC